CTGGGCCCTGAACAACGTCTCATCAGTCACCTGCAACTCACTCCAGACTCCAGAAAGCCACACTTGGCGGGGGGCACAAGCGCACAGGACCCAGAGAGGAAGGCAACTGGACAGTTGATATTCACCCCAGCATTGCAGGGGGTTGAGTGGGACCCTTCCTGACCTGAAATCCACGTGTGACTTCTGTGATTGTCCTTAAGGAGAGAGACTGTGTCACTGCTGTACAGTCCAGTCCACTGTGGTGAAGACGGCAGGGGCGTGTGACCGCTGGTCACACTGCTTCCGCAGCTGAGAAGCAGAGAGAGTGAAAGCTGGTGCTCAGCTCCGTTTCTTTTGTATTCAGTCTGGGACCCCAAGCCATGGCATAGTGCTGCCCGCATTCAGGGTAGGTCTTCCCTGCCTGGAAACCTTCTCATTGTCTCCTCCAGAGATGTGTTTCCATGGTGATCCCAAACCCCATCCATCTGAAAGTGACAATGAAGCTTCACACCCTGGATGTGTGCGGGGAATGAGGAGAGAAAAGAGGCCCTTGCTTCAGGTAGGTGACCACTGCTAGGTCTGCTGTCCTGTGTGTCCGGTTGGGGACCTGACCAGACACTCTTGGCATATTGTGTATCTAGGGTGTGACTTCCGAACAACATCTGAAGCTGACAATAAACATCATTAGGACCTTTGTAACATGGCCGGGGAAATGCCACCTCTCTGAGGACTCCGGATTTAGTTGTACGGTGTAGATACCCATAGCTTTCTACTGTCTACAGATTGGCCTTGAGGGGACTTCCAGTGACAGAGTTTAACACGACAGTGACCAAGGATATTTCTTGTCTCCTTGCAGATCTCAGCCAGCAGGGCTACTCTGAGCAGATTCAGCATGTCATGAGCTCAAGCCCAGACTCTAAAGCACCTTCTGCAGGAGTCCCCACCAGATGAGGCCAGGGCCCCCTTACCCAGGAAATACTGTTATGCCATTCCAGCCGTGCAGATGACGGGATCACAGCTTTGACATCAGCTTTGAGGCCAGGGCCAGTGTCCCACCTTTGTGGCCACAATGGCCAGTGTGGAAATCCAACAGCCTTGCATAGATAAATGTAGAGGCCTCCAATGGACCTCCAGTTGGGAACCAGGTGACATCAGTCCTGGTTCCCATCCTTGGTCCTTGAGCTCTTTGCAGGGCCTGAAGAGCAGGCCAAGATCATGTCACAGTTGTTGGAAGTGGAGGATGGTGAGGTTATCAGCTTGCTGAGCTAGCTTTGAAATCCTAGAGCAATTAAAGTTTCACTGCCTCCTACAGTGGGGCTTCTCTGTTGCCCCTTTGATACTGTAAAATGCACTTCCCATCCACAGATGTGGGAAGTGGGGGTGCCTGTGCCTTATTCCAGAATTGTGCTGGACAAGATTACTTTTAGGGAAGGGCGAGAGGACTTGTGCTCTCCGAGCCTGCTGAGAAGGATCCTGAGGGAAGCAGTTTCCTCTTCAGAATCTCCCACAAGCACTGAGGTCCTTAACTCCGCTGGACCCCCCGTCAACAAAAGGGTCCTCAGGGAAGAAACACCTTCTGTAGCCTTGCTGCCTCTCATACTGGGGATGCTCACTTGTAGTCCTGTGTCTACTGTGATGAATAGACTAAATAAACTTCAACAGGAGGCCTTATGACCAGGCCTTGTCCTGTAGAATCTACAGACATTATTGGTCCCCTTCTTATGAGGAGTCCAAATCTAAGCCAAGCTCAATATTTCAGGTAAGAATTGGCCTGGCAGAGATGAGCCTTACAACCAGGGTGGGTAGTGATTGGAGTGAACATATCACTAATTCCCCTAAACCAAGGTATCAGGAGTATAGAATTTTTGACAGCCACTGAGCCACTAAGTCTAGAAGCAATTAAATGTATGTTTTTAAAGTTATGTTTTAGTTGGAAAACCATTAAAAGCCATCTTTCAGTTGGAAATCCATATCTATTATTGTTGAAAGAGAAACAAACTTAGTTGCCATGGAACATAACAAAACTAAACCTATCTTGAAAATGTTATGTGGTACCACTGTCAATGCCTCCAAATAATATATGGGTAAGAACTTCAAGTTATATTTAAAAATACAGTAAAACAGATGTGTAGATGTTGTTTTCTTACAAAAATTGATTTAATTAAATAACTATCATGGCTGGAATATTTTTAGAAACAAGTTCACCTAGTGTCTGTAAAATCTGACCATATTAAGTGTCCCTGCAATCTCCCAAGAATACTCCTGCTACACAAATTCTGGAGGAAGTACTTAATTGCAGAGGCAGGCACAGTTAATGCCTAGTTACTAGTAAGGCCTTAAAAGCTCCACGCTGTGTGACTGGCTCTACAAGGCAGGGCAGAGCATTCCTCTGGACGCAAACAGCTTCTTTTTTGTGTTGATGTTTTGCGTGAATATGCTCCAGGAACTAAATTCAATAAGAAGTATGTTACATAATAGAGATGACACAGGGATAGGGGAGCATCAGAGAGATCGACGACATAACTTTCAAAAGTCTAATGAAACCCAAGTCAATACTGCTGCAACCAGAGTGCAGCACCAACTTTCCGGAGTCCAGGATTGACATTCCACATGCCCTATTGTACTGCAGCATTTTTACACAGTGGGATGGGGCTGGAGAAAGTCATCCAACCTCCATCCCCAGTGTTGGCTCCATCTGCTTTCTTTTACAGTGTGCATGCTTCTCTCCTCTTGGATTCTACCCACAGGTCTCCAAGAAGAAAGTCTTCACTCAAGGGAAAAACTATAATTGTTTAATTGTGCCCCCCTTACTACCTCCCCCCAGAAGTGAGGGCTCAGTCTGTGTCCCATAAATGACCCTCAGTCATTTGTATGTCATCTAGTTCAACACTGAGCATCTGGGCAGAGCAAACAGCCCATATTGCTCAGAAACACAACAGATGGCATAACTTAATAAATACATCAGTGGCACAAAAATGCCTCAGGAATCTAAAGAGGGAACCCAGTGGAAAAGACTATAGTAGGCTTCATCCCTTTAAAAACAACCACCACACAGGTGAGCGTGAACATCACACACAGTTCTCACATCCCTAGGCAGTGGGAATCACTCTGCCCTTGATGTGTCAGTGTATACATTGTCAGTGAGAGTAAGGGAACATGGTTCACATATGAACGGCTCCCACGGGCTCATATAGCTGAATGTCTGGTCATTAGGGAGTGGCCTTGTGGGAGAGGTGTGTCACTTGGAGTGGGCTTTGTGGTTTCATATGCTCAAGCCAAGCCTCTCTCTCTCTCTCTCTTCCTGCTGCCTATGGATCAAGTGGAGAACTCTCAGCTCCTTCTCCAGCAAATGCCTGCCTGCATGCTGCCAAGCTTCCTGCCATGACAATAAAACTGTAAGGCAGCCCCAATTAAATGTTTCCCTTTATAAAAGTTGCTATGGTCATGGTGTCTCTTCACAGCAATAGAATACCGACTAAGACTGCCTTGTCTTTTATCTTGAAGGCAGCCCCACTCCAGCTTAAATGTTTCCCCAAAGTCACCACAAATATTGTTCCTGCCCTTCCTGGTTTAACCATTCACATCACTCCCAGTCCATATTCCCACACTTCTGAAAAGCCCCCATCCCCACGAACAAGCCCCTCAGAAGCCCTGATAAGAATAAGTTCGTAGCCTGTGAGTGAAGCTCGCTCTGTCTCTCTCACCCTCCCCTGATGAGAAGCCTCTTCACCCCTCTATGTCCTTGTAGTTGTGAGCACAGTGAGTGGATGGGTGACCAAGGAAACAGACTTCCCGCCACATGTCTTGAGTTGCTTTAGGGAGAAGAGAAAGGTCAACTCTTAACCAGAAACTTCTCCAGAGGGGAGGAAGAGGCATCACTACAGTACCTAGGACAGTGGTAAGAACATAACGACTGATGACTACATGTCATGACTGAGACCTTCAGACCTGGTTCCCTGACTCAGAGAAGCACAGCACAGTGAACTGGATGAAGTAATCAAGCATCATTCCCTGAGGATGGTGCTTGAGCACTTACACAATGGTCAGTGCAACAGCATTTCTCTAAAAGCTTGGCTCTTCTATGATTACATTTTGCTACAATGTTTCATTGAAAAGTGCTTCAGTCCTGGCCACTGAGAAACTTAGAATGCGGAGAAACACATATAAAACATTTTAAATATTATGTCATTTGTAGGAAAAGCATACGGAACCAGAGACCACTGTGCTAAGGTGTTAAGTGAAATAAGTAAGACTAACAGAAGTGTGGTGTGTGTGTGTGTGTGTGTGTGTGTGTGTGTGTGTGTGTGTGCGTGTGTGTGTGTGTGTGTTATGAAAGTAGAAGGGGGTACTATGCCAGGGGAGGGGGAAAGTGGAACAAGAAAGGGCAATGGGAGAGACAACAAAAAGTACATGTTTTTGCTCATTTGTACAATAAAGATTTAAAATATATGGCACATGAAAGTAGAAAGAGTATTTGGGGAGAGAAGAGGACAAGTGGGAAGGAAAGGGGGGAAAAAGAGTGACAGGAGGTAAATATAAACACAGTTTGTGAAAGCGTAATGAATTCCAGTATTTTTATACTAAAATATTAATAAAAATCAAATAAGATGTCATAATTAAATCCAATATTTTGTATACTACCTAAAACATTAATCAAAAATAAAATATTTTTAAAAATCAATCTCCTTCCTAAATAATTTTCCCCCGTGAATATTTCTAAATCTATTCCTGTGAAATTTGTTTTCTCTGTGCAACTTTGGAAACTCACTCTAGATGTCTTGGTCTTTGTTTTTTAAAAAGAATATAGTTTGGTGCTCTGATGAGAGAGACCTCTCTCTCCACACGTAGACAGATACAACTATATTTCAATGCATACTTTAACACACTGAGTCCTGACTCCATTACCAGCCTCCAGTGTCAGAAGGGTCAGGCTTTCTTCTAAAAATTCCTAGGATGCAAACTTTTGAGATTTTTTCCTTTCAAAGATAAAATCACAGGAGTCTACTTTCAAGATAGCTTACCTGGTAATCTGAGTTCTTGTACTGAAGTCAAGAGACCTCATTGAGCGCAGAACTTCAATGCATCCCAAGTACTGAAAGGGGAAAAAATAGTTCATGAGCCCTGGGAACTGAGAGCAATAGAAAAGTACTAATGGTGTCAGGGGGAGGGGGGCAATACACATTCTTGCATCACATTGTACCTTTAAATTCAAGGGAACAGGGCTGGTGAGATGGCTTAGTGGTTAAGGGACCCACAGGGAACAAGCAGAAAACTCCGGCCAGCTGTCCTGACTCTTGCATGCACGCTGCAATTCTCTAGCGCTCTCTCTCTCTCTCTCTCTCTCTCTCTCTCTCTCTCTCTCTCTCTCTCTCTCTCTCTCTCTCTCTCTCTCTCTCTCTCTCTCTCTCTCCCTCTCCCTCTCCCTCTCCCTCTCCCTCTCCCTCTCCCTCCCTCCCTCTCTCTCTCTCTCTCTCTCTCTCTCTCTCTCACACACACACACACACAGAGGGAGCAATAAGTAATTTTAATATAAAATGATTTAAATTCTAGGTGTGATTGTGTTTTTATTAAAACCCTAAATCTAAACTTTTATCCAATAGAAAACATCCCAAATTGGCAGAACCTTTGACTTTTATAAAACCTCTTAGCATTGCCATTTTCTTTGGATGTGTATTTTTCAAAGCTTTTACTGAAGTATACCCTATACATTGTAAGATGTGAAAACCTTAAATGTTTATGTTAATGTTGTTAAAATATATTTTAAATAGGATTGACCCCTCAACCAAAACATCATATTCCTAGGTCGGTACAAGACTTCTAAAGGTTCTTAATTTTTTTTGTTTTTTTTTTTTGAGGCAAGGTTTATGTGTGTAGCCTTGGCTGTCCTGGAACTCTGTGCTGGGCTTGAACTCAGAGATCCACCTGCCTGTGCCTTTTGAGTGCTGGCATCAAAGGTGTGCCCCACCACTGCCTGTCTAGGTTCTTAAATTAAAAAAAAAGAAGAGTTTAGCCACTGTACAACCAACACTTTCAGTAACGCCAACCCTCTGTCTTTGTCTGGTTTCTGTGATAAAAACACCAGGGCCACAAGCAGCCTGGGGAGGAAAGGGTTTCCTTCAGCACAGTCCATCACTAAGGCAGTCAGGGCAGGAACTCACACAGGGCAAGAGCCTGGAGTTGAGAGTTTATGCAGAGGCCACAGGGCAGTGCTGTGTACAGGCTTGCTCCTCACGGCTCACTCAGTCTGGTTTCTTATACTCCCCAGGGGTGGTACTGCACACAACAGGTTGGGTGTCACTCATCAATAGTTAATTAAGAAAATGCCATACAGACTTGCCTACAAGCCAGTCTTACAGAGGCGTTTTTCTCAGTTGAGAGTCCCTTTTCCCAAGCATCTCTAGCTTATGAAAAGTTGATGTAAAACTGAGCTGGACACCTACATTGTCTGATAAATATATTTACAGGGTTGTGAGTAAACTATAGAGCACTTCAGTTTAGTGGAAAGCCTTCTTTACTGCTTACCACGAGCTTCCAGAAGTTCAAATGCACACATTGCAGTGTGTGACTTAGGTCAGTGTCACTTATAAACATGTGCAGGTGGACAGACATTGTGACTGCAGTCATGACACAAGGGATGCAATGCCTGCTCTAAGCCCTGGGAGAGCTAGAAGATACAGGCGCCTTTAAATTAGACTGAATAAGCCTCATAGTGTGTTACAGAAAGGAGTCAAGTTTGCATTACACAGAAAACCCAAACTTGGGCCCAGCTTTGTTATCTTTTGTTATGTAACTTTATGTAACACTTGACCCACTTCTCAAAACTGAAAAGTCTCTCCATCTACAAACGTGGCTGTTCCTCCCTCCACGGCACCAGCACCGACATCAAGGTTACAGAAAACCACCAGCACCAACGTCAAGGCTACAGAAAACCACCAGCGCCATCTGAATCATGTGAGTTCTAAGGTCAATGACAGAATTCTATTCTGTTAGACAACCACTGCTGGTCTCTACCAAAACCATAATTCTCCAGGCTGGGAGACAGCTCAGTCATTAAAGTGATAGCCCTCTAAGTACAAGGACCTGAGTTTGATCCCCCAGATCCATGTACAATAAGCCAAGCATAGCAGAACACACATTTAATCCATTTCTGGGAATGCAGATATACAAGGGTACAGCTGAATTTGTGAGCTCCATGTTCAATAAGAGACCCTCTCTCAAAAACTGGGATGGAGAATGACTGAGGAAGACACTCCAAATCTACAACTCTTCTATGCACATATGCATGCATACATGCACCTGCAGACACATGCAAATACACAGGAGTGAGTATACACACATGTACACACACATCTGCACACCACTTCCACACACAATCATAACTCTCATCCGTGAGTAAAGCATCCTAGGTAACTAGATTGGCACTACGTTTGGCTTTCCTAAAACCTACTAGCACTATCATTTTATTTAGATGTACATTTTTTCAAAACACTACAGGGTTATATAACTACAGAATCCAGTGTTGTTCCTGTGACTAACAGGCCCAATATCACACACTTATGTGATGACCACCATTATCAAAGTCACCACAGATACCACATCACATTGCAGAGTTATGGGAAAGGCATGCCCAATGTTAAAAAGTTACATGAACACAGTCCACTGCCCAGGGCTACTGTGAATGCCAGGCTCACTGGTGCCCTGGGACTGTGGGGACACCGCGACCACCATTATGGTGATGTTAATACCAGGTCTAACATAACAGAACTGTGAGAATGTCACAGAAAACAATGCAGCACAGATATAAGAACTCTGTCCCAGCCAGCCCAGAGACTGAGGCAGGGGGAGCAAAAGGCCTACCGGGAAACACAATGAATGCAAAGCCAGCCATGTAACAGTGCAAATGTGCCTCAAAGGAAGGGCTTTAAAGGGACTGGGGTTGGCGCTCAGAGATAGAAGCCTAGCATGTGTGAGGCCTAGGCTCAACCTCCAATACCATGAAAAAGAATTAATTTATTAATTACTGATACAAAATGTTCGGTGTTAGAGACAGACTATAGTGTTGGTACTTTCTCAAAGGAAATAGGAAGAAACATTTGTTCCCAAACACGTGTGGTACTAAAAGGTTGGGCTCAGGAGAAAGAGGTTCAGAGAGCAGCATCCTAAAAGCTTGTGGACAGCATCGTGTGGAATGTCAAAGAGGTGAACACATTCCCACTAAGGTCTGGGAGGAGGTGAAGATGTGCACTTTTACCACTGCAGCTCAGTAGGACAGAAGTCTCAGCCAGGGCAATCAGAAAGACAAAGAAATGCAACACAAGGAGTTGGAACAGAAGAAATCAAACCGTCACTGTCTGCATGCACAGACACATGCCCCTACTAGAATAATAAATTAGAATAATTAATATTGATAACAAATTCAGAAAAGAGGCAGGATACAAAACCAATGTAATAAAATCAGCTTCTTTTCTACACACCAATAATAAGTTACCTGAAAAAGAAATCAAGAAAACAAAGACATTTTTAAGTTATCAAAAATAATGGCAAAGAGCATTTTCTGCTATCCAGGGAGCTGCAATGCTTTTTAAATACATTAATGCATTGCCAAGTATTTTCAAATGACTTTACTAAAAAAAAAGTCATGCAAGAATGTAAGCTGTAAGATAAACAAGGAGGGCTACTGTGAGGCTCAAAGCAGTATCTTGCATATCTTGCAAGTTAATGGGAGATCCAGTCAGGAAAAATATACCTTGCACTTTACTGTTTCTGTTTGCAGTTAAGACAGTTAAGAATAAGTTCATGTTTGCCCTAAGTCTCTATTTGTTCTGTGTGGGTGAAGGTTTCTGTTTGCAGTTAAAGAATAAGTTCTTGTTTGTTCTATGTTAAGCCCTTGCAAGTTAAGGTTTCTATTTGTAATTTAGAATAAGTTCCCATTTCTTAGATCTGATGTAAATGGTAAATCATGTTTTTCAACCTACATTAAACTTGCTACCCCAAAAAAACAAAAAAAAAACAAAAATAAAATTTTAAAAAATGTTAGAGATGAAAGATCTCTACATTGAAAAGAATAAAATGTTTACAAAAGAAATGAAAGAAGACATATAAAGGCTGAAAGACATCCCTTGTTTGTAGTTGGGAAAAAGAAATATTATTAAATGTCCAAACTGCCCAAAGCAATCTTTAGATTCAATGCAGTACATATGAAAATATCAGTCACATTCCCTCAGAAGAACATCCTAAAATTCATATGGAACTGCCAATAAATAAATAAAATGCCAGACAGCAAAGTCATCAGCAGTGAAAATGAAACAGCTGTAAACATCACCACATCTAACTACTTCAAAATATACTACAAAGCTACAGTTGTTCTAGCTGGTTTTATGTCAACTTGACACAAGCTAGAATCATCAGTCAAGAGGGAACCTCAATTAAGAAAATACCTTCATGAGATCAGGCTGTAGGCAAGCGTGTAAGGCATTTTATTAATTAGTGATTGATAGGGGATTGCCCAGCCCTTTGTGGGTGGTGCCATCCCTGGGCGGGTGGTCCTGAATTCTACAGAAAAGCAGGCTGAGCAAGCCATGGGAAGCAAGCCAGTAAGCAGCGCCCCTGCATGGCCTCTGCATGAGCTCCTACTTCCAGGGTTCCTGCCCTGAATGAGCTCCTGCCCTCACTGCTTTTGATAATGAACCGTTACATGGAACTGTGAGTGAAATAAACTCTTTCCTCCCCAAGTTACTTTGGTCATGGTGTTTCACCACAGCAACAGTAACCCTAACTAAGACAATAGTCATCAAAACAGTAGACAAGGGAACAAACTAGCGACAGTAGGATAAACCCCACACACTATAACATACCAATCTTCAACAAAGATGCAAAGAGCATATGAGAGGAGAACTTTCCTCAATAAAGGCTAAGAGGAAACTGCAGAATGAGTTTATCTCACCATGTACAAAGGTCAACTCAAAATAATTAAACTTGAAACTGTGAGACTAGTATTAGAAAACCCGAGCATAGAATACTTTGTGGTGGTGCTTCAGTGGCGAGTTTTTTGATAAGACACCAAAACTACAGGGCACAGACGCAAAATGCAGG